AAGTACCTGATATGCTGCTCCCTGGTCTCCACTGTGTTTTCTGCTTGTCCACAACAAGTCTGAAGGTTTTTTATGCTATGAATTGGTTTTGAAATCTTTGGGTTTATCTTGTGGATCATGTGTAAGTGTTTGAATGTCTAACAGTGCTTATATTATATGGCACCCCACAGCACCTTTAAAAGGATCTCTCAGCCACCCAGGGTATTACCGCACTGTAGTTGAGACTCAGCACTCTAGTTCTGTAAGCTGTATTCAGTAAGGTATTTTTGAAAAGTTTTGAATCCTTTATTTTATTTTTCAAGTAATAATTATGCAAAACATCATATGCTGTGATACTTGCACATCATTTTTTACCAGGAATCCAGTATTGTTGGGTGATAACCTTTTAACCAAAAAATAAGCTTTGTTCCATTTCTGCCTTGCACTGGTTCTTTTTTTGTTTCTCTGAAAAGTAGATGGTCACCTAAAAGTGAACTTGGTGTTTATTTTTCAAGTAAATCACCGTCTAATGTTTATGAGCTAGAATGAAGTAAAGATTGCAGGATTTGGTCCATAATTCTTATTTTACTCCCACTTGTTGCTGAATCTCCGTAACAGGTTGCCATTAAAAGCCTCATTAACATGCAAATAAAAAGTTTGCATTGGTCTCTTGGATACAGGAAGTTCCAAATGTTGTTATAGGTAGAAAAATGGATGTTTGCTTCCTAAATGAAGTGTGTTGAAGTAAACATCGTATCTTTTCTCCTGCAAAAAATGAGTTAATTGTCAAGCATGTCCAGTGCCAAAATACAGAAGTAACCATAAAAAAAAAAAAAAAAATCCAGTCTTTATCCAGAGCAGTGCTTCTCAATCACAGTGCCGGGGTGCTCAGTGGTCCTGCGAGAGCCTTTGAAAGGGTACCACAAGGTGTGAGGAGATAAGCTCAGGCTCAGTCCCTGCCTGGCTGTTCCTCAGCCCCTACAGCTTGCTCCCTCTGGAAGGAGCTAAGCACTGTAATACATAAATTATTTTTTGAAATGTGGCACCTCTCAATTCACTATAGTTATGAAGGGGTGCCTTAAATCTAAAAAAGTTGAGAACTACTGAGAAGAAATTGTATGTTCAGTTTTTACATGTATTTTTTTTTTTTCAGACTCACTTTTGTTTTCTTCTTCCTCAACATCCTGCTCGCAGTTTTTATTGCTTTTTTCTGGCTTTAGAATGTCTTGAGTGCATTATTGAAAATATGCATGGCTTGTTGTTTTTACTTTGTTTTTTCTGAACCTCGGAGCAAAATGCCAAACTGGATGCTGGAGAACAAATCTGTCCTGTTGTAGCTACCCAGTAGAAAAGGGCACTTGGAAAGAAAATTATTTTATATTTAATTTTACTCTAACAGAGCTGTATAATTTATTCTCGAGATGATCAATACACCTAGTTAACTGCAACACTAAGTTCTGTGTTGAACTTGTGCAAACAGATATCGATTGACAAAATTAGTGCACTTAGCTACCATAAGTATATTGAACACATGTCTAATTCATATCCTCATGGTAATGTTTTGAATTGAAAATGAGCACTGAAGTATTAGGCAATTTTTATGTGCAGTTTACATAAGCTGTTGTTTTGGTTAGCAGTCTGAAGCAGAGGTTGCTGATTGTGTTTTACTTGTTTATAGTGATTGAGTGCACTGAGAAGTACTCGCATTTTGCATAGTGTTTTAGAAATGTATGCGTTTGAGTGGTATTTTTGCTTTAAACTGCGTGAAGGTTTGACAGATCTCTTGCTGGCTGAATGTGTCTAAGGAGAGTAAAAATTAAGTTTTGTTCAATGCCCTATTACAAGCTAATTTAAAAAAATATTTAGTTTGAGTAGTGATGATGAAGCATTGGGACACTATTTTACACAAATACTTATATGTAATAGCCTTCATTATTTCTTGAGAAACTCATGCTTCATCCTAAAATACTTCCATAGGACTGTTAAGTATGAATTAATATTGGCAACTACTTTGGGGCAGAACTGATTTTTGTAGCCAAGAGATTTCTGTCTTGAAGTATGTTAAGGTTCAGTTAGCAAATGATAAATTAGAAGTTCAAAATGTGTGCCTCTTAGCATCTCAGGACTGTAGTATAACATTAATTATTGGGGTATCCATCTGATCTTTAAAAAATTAGCCCAATGTCAAGAATTACACCGGGGGAGGGGCTGGAACCATGCTCATTCAGTGTTATTTGCACTTTCCTGTGTTTGAAGATGGTAGCTTTGAAATATCAACAAGAGCTGATGGGACTGCTTCCAGGAAGCCTTTGGCAGAGGGCTGACTGGACAGTCTCTGTTGCCCAGTCAACCTGCCATCACTGTAACCCCATTACCACCCACCAGCAGCAGTGACAGGGCTGCTCAGAAGCAGGTACCCAATCAGCCCTTGCTGCTACTGTAGCCCTGTCACCCTTGCTGCCAGGTGGCAAGGGTGACTGGGCTTCCTGGAAGCTACCCAGCAGTAAGATGGGGTTGGGAAGAAAGACAAGAGTAGGAGGAGCTGAATTTTTTTTTAATGAAGTTGAAGAACACAAATGCCTCCCTTTTGTGGGAGGGCAGGGTGCCAGACATGCTTAAATCTGCTTTCAAGAAATCATCAATTAACACCAACTTCCCAGCCAGTTATCACCCTGTCTCCAACCTCCTCTTTTAGGGAAAGGTCATTGAGCAGGTAGTTGCCCGACAGCTCTAGGTGTCTGATGCCATAGTTTTTCTTGGACCTTTGTCATTCTGGCTTTTTTCCTGGATGTAGCACAAAGACTGCACTTCTGGCCTTGTTTGACAATATTTGCCTGGAGATCAACAAGACAAATTATGCCAGCCTGGTCTTACTAGATCTTTCAGCAGGTTTTGATACAGTTGACCACCAGGTATTTACATTTTACGTTTATGTGACCCGGTGGTATTTGCAGGGCTGTTCTAAATTTGTTGTGCTCTTTCCAAGTACGGAGGACCCAGAGGGTGGTGATGAGGAAGTGCTCATCCTCATCTTGGGACTTCTCTTGTGGTGTCCCCTAAGGGATCCATCTTGTCACCCCTCTTGTTCAATATGTAGTGAGGCTGTTGAATGAGATTGTACAGAGATTTGGATTAAGGTGCAATTAGTATGTGGAAAACACCCATCTCTATGTCTCCTTTCCTGAGCCTGGTTCTGTAGTCTCATCCTTTCCCTGTGCTGGACTGCAGTTAGGGATTGGATGTGGGTTGACCAATTGAAACTGAATCTAGAGGTGATGGTTGTGGGCAGACCCCTTGTCGTGGGGTGGGGGGAGCAGTAGATTGGGACACCCATCACTGAAGGTGTTCAGCCTCTCCTTGCCACTCAGGTTTGCAGCCTTTTACTCCTTGATCCTCTGCTGCACCTGGATCTTCAAGTAGTCACCCCTAGTGGTAGCTAAGAGCACCTTTCACCATCTCCTTTGCTGAAAAGGCTGCAACCCCTCATTTCAGATTTGGGTCTGGCCACTATTATCCATGCCTTTTGTAACCTGAAGGCTATATCACTGCAACGTGCTGCCTCTGAAGACTGTCTGGAAACTGCAGCTTGTGCAGAATGTGGTAGCCCACCTTGTGACAGAGGTTGGTTGTCAGAAACGCCCAGTTCCAGTGCTGCAGAGTCTGAGTAATGTTTTGCATGCAATTCATGTTGCTGTTTTTGACCTACAAGGCCCTAACTGGTCTGGGACCTATGTTTTTAAAGGACTGCCTTCTCCCTTATGCTGCATTGTGATCCCTAAGGTCAACTGAGAGCAGCATCCTGCAAGCACCATCAATATGCCAAGTCTGCCTGCTGAAAATGAGTGGGAGGCCTTCTTAACAACCCTTCCTCAGCTTGGGAAATCCCTCCTTCTTGACACAAGTCTGGACGTTTTTTGGAAGCCCTGTAAGACCTTCCTATTTAGACAGGCATTTAGCAAACAAAACTAGGCTGAGATATTGTTTAGGGAGTCTCTCTTCAGTTGATAGTCTGATTCCCGTTTGTTTTTGTGTTTTGTTGTTCTTTTTATAAGCATCCTGTTTCTGTTATTGTAAATTTCCTGGAACCTTTTTGAGAAGGGCAGCAAATAAATTGAATAAATAATTGAATACTTTGGGGACAGGTGGGCATAGGGAGAGCATAATTTAACTGTGCCACTAGTAAATCTAGCGCTGAATTATAAATTAAAATCTTTCAGGTGGTGGTTGGAGGCATTTGCCCTAATAGAAAAAAAAATTAAAATGGGTCACATACAAAACACTAGAACTCTTGTTTCCAAAATACCTTTTATTAGACCAACTGGGAAATTGCAAGAAAACTGTCCTTTTCTGCAAGCTTTGGGATCAAAGTCCCTTCATCAGGCTCTGGGAAAAGTACAGATGGTGCAAAATGGTAAAAAGTCCCCATAGATGGGAAATAAACTTAATTTTTGCACAGAGGGAGCTGAAGCTCACTGGGCCAGATGGGGAGCAGTTCTGTTGGCTGGATTTGGTGCCTGGGTCATGATTTACACCCCTTTTTAAACATAAGCAGGAGTTAGCTAGGATGCTTTAAATGCTACTCTGGACAAGGCCTTTGCAGACAAATTAACGTCATGACTTTGGAAGTGCAACTTATCCTGTTTCCTGGAGATGACAGTTGATGATATCAAACTCCTAAAACTTGGGCCTTGTTTGAATGTAAACCTTATATATTAAAAGCTGTTTTTAATTGTTCTGCCAAAAGTCCTAGTGCAATCTCCTTTTCTCTAAAGTACAATTAAATGTTAAGTTTTAACAGTAGGCGCTCTGAAATGTTCAACACTGTGGAGTTAGAGACACTCTCAAAATTAATTGCCACTAATAGTAGATAAGTGTTGTGCTTCTCTAAGTAATGCTTGTGCTAGTGATTGAAAGAAATGAGATATTTTTAAATCTGCTTTTGGTTTCACTTTGTATATTAGAGGTGTCAAAGATATGGTCTGCAGACCGGCTGGATGAAGTTGATACTCCTGCTTTAAATGATGTTCCTCATTGTGTGCATCTTCCGCACTTCAACAGTGGAGATTAAAAATATGCAAATGTAAAATCTCCCAACCTGACTCCAGAGTAGGTGTAGAACCTGATGCTAGCCTAACTGGGTCAAGCCTTGTTTTAACTTTCCCATCTCTCCCTCTAACATGAATGTACAGGATTGTTTTGTTCTCTGGCTGGGCACTAAAACCAAACTGCCTTGTTCTAGGAGACTGGTTTGGAGGAGATTTATATGGCATCTAACAGACTCTATATGACTCTGTAAAATCATAACTGATAAGGGGCTGATGGGAAACAAAACAGCATTTGTGCATAGACAGAAGTGATAATTTTTGCTTGATCTGGCCACAGAAAGCAGTTTATAGCTGTGACCAAACACAATTGCATGGCTGCAGACAGCTTCAAAAATGGCTGATCGGGTGAAAATCTGCCCCCTCGTTGCATGAGAGGTCAGATGAAGGTGTTTCACAACATAATGTTTTCTGCATGAATGACTCGTGCCTCCTTAGGCTGGGTGCGGGCACAGCGACTGCCCACAGGCAGAGGTGTTGGCAGTGGCAAGCAGGGACTGCCTGCAGATGGCCGCGGTGATGTAGGCGGCAAGGGCGGGCCGAGCAGGGACCGCGGCAGTGTCAGCGGATGTGGAGGAGCTGAGCGGTGACCAGCTGCAGATGTCTGTGGCAGCGGCCAATCTCAGGGGGTGCACATGCCCCTCCTACACGTTGCCTGTGGTTTTCTGTAACTTACATCTGCGCTACCTGCCAGCCTCAAGCTGTTTTCAGAATGGGAGTGGGGAAAGGGAGCAGAGGGAGTTTGGTCTGGGGCAGGGGTGGGCAAAATGCGGCCCATGGGCTGGATGCGGCCTGTGGGATGCCTAAAAAATTTAGAAAATTAACATTTAGCTGCCCCTGGCTGCCTGTCATGCGGCCCTCAATGGCTTGCCAAAACTCAATAAGTGGCCCTCTGCCCAAAATAATTGCCTGCCCCTGGGGGCGGTTTCAGCCCCCTCTGGAGGGTGGAATGGGTATATTGGAGACTCCCCTGAGGTGCCCCCTCTGTTCCCTTTCCCTCCTCCTATTCTGAAAATGGGACAGGTTGGGAGAGAGGAGGGGCCATTGCTAGGGGAAACCAGGTGCAGGTTCCCAGCGAGCAGCTAGATTCCCCTTCCCACTGGAACCAACAGTGAACTTCTTTTTGGTTCCAGGGGTTCTTGTAACTCAGAGCGCTTCCGGAAATGTTCTCAGTTATCACAGGGAGCTGCACTTCTGTCTGCACCCTTGAAACATACCTTTAACAGTTTGTTGCCCCAGGCATTAAAACAGGGAGCTTATTATTTTCCAGTCTGTGTTTGTGTCTGAGATGGTCTTAGAGCCGGCATAATTTGCCTATGTGGTTTTAATTTGGGTGAGGTGGTTACCCTCTTGATGACAAGGAAGATATGTGCATCCCAGTGAAGAGCATGACTGGGAAAGGCTTCAGTTACCACCCTCTTCCCCCCAGCAAATTGCCTGAAAATGAATCATACACAATTTTTTCTGCATCATTTCTATTGTCTCCTTATGACTCACTGAGCCATATATAGTAGCTTTTCTTTTGAGAAGAAATTTTATTCAGAGCAAGGAGATGTGAAAGCAAATATTAAATGTCAGGCTGTTATGTCAGATTTGTATTCAACTGTAGTGGTGGATAAAAAAGTTACATGGCTTGAACATCAGAAAAATAACAGTAATTGCTTTCTCTATTAAAAGGCTAATGTCAGGTTAAAATCTTTAGTTGCCTTTCCCCACCTATTATGTATAATAACATTAGATATTAATTTAAATAAAAGCCTTTGTTTTGCTTTTTTTTTAGCTTAACTTTTACCACTCCTTTCAGATTGAGTGAGAAATGTATTCTCATGATACTCTTGGAATCCTGTGTACTGCTGCAGTATCTGGATTGCAAGTACTACAGTGATGTGGTTAGTGATGTGTGTGGCTTTCTTTAGCTGTTTCCATTGGATTAACCTCTTGTCTCCAAAGCACAATCTCAGTGTTTTCTGTTGACCTGGGTTTCTCAGCTTATGAAATCTAAATTTGGGAGCCACATTGGGTTTCCTTTTAAGATTCTCCACCCTTCTCTAAGACAAGTTGGGTTTGTTAAAGCACTGAGAGGGCTTTTCTCTCCATTTGTCTCACTGCCCATCTCTGGACCTTGATTCTGTTTCTGGCCAGGCTGTGTGATGGTTTGTCTACCAGCCTGTCATGGACCATGGTGATAATTCATATCTTACTGTTTTATGATATTGATGATCTGCAGAAAAATGTTGATGTTCTAAAATTGGTATTTGTTTCATATTTATAGGTGTTGGGATTGGAAGTTGACACTGTGAACTCTGTCCAGTTTTCAAACCACACAGGTAAAAAAAAAAAAGTTCTCAATATATTATTCTGCATGCCTGTGCACACAGTTTGGTGCAGTTATGGCTGCCAAGCACTCAGTCCCTCTCACTGTGTAGTGCTTTGTTCTTATTTTCTATTCCCTTTTCCTAACTCCCTTTGAAATGCAGGGGCTATGGGTGTAATGTTCAGAGTTTGATCCAAAGCATATTGAGGTTTGTGAGCTTTGGAAAAGTGCCTAAATCTAAATTGTAATGCATTCCAGTCTGTTGCTTAATCTTGCATGGGTATTTTGTTAAACAGCTTAGAAGAAATAAAACTGAGCAAAGAGATATCTCATCAGTAAAAATATTAGACCGTTAAATAGAATAAATATTGCATCATCCCATAACTGGCAGTCTGAGTAAGTCTCCAGCATTTGGGCTTTTACAGGAAACCACATGACTTTTAGCTGTACTGCCACCCAGAAGTACTCATTATTTTAGTCAGGCCCCTCCTTGGGGGTTGACTTAAAAATCCTGACTCATTTTTGTTTTTACAGGAGTGTATTTGGGGTTCATTTTATATGCGTGCTGGTTTTTGAGCCTGTCAGTTGTGGTGTGCCCGTGCCACGTTTTACATTTTTCTCTGCCATTTTGAGGGAGGCCTCAAATTGAAAGCTGACATTCTCAGGTATTCCAGTGATTATCCCCACTGGGGTTTTGAAGAAAAACAGTGGGTATCACAAGTAGTCTGTGTGGTAGGTGTGATCCTTTTATTAGGCCAACTAGATAGTTACAAAACGGATTCTTTATTTTTGGGTATCGCAAGACTTGCAATTGGTGGCAACACTGATATTACCTTAGGGCAGCTCTTTAGTAAGTCCTGGCACAATATACCAGTTGCCGGAGGGATGGTAAACTATGGATAAGGAGAATTCTTAGCACCTTTTTAAAGAAAGTTATTTTGTGTATTAACATCTTTGAAAAGAGATAAAGATTGTGTGATTTTTGCAGTGAATGTTCCTAAAGTGGTAACAATGGTCTCTGTTAATCACCTGCTAAATCTTTGGAACCAAAACCAAACCTGAGCCAAATTCTGCTATCTTATCCTGTTCAGCAGGATATTGACTTCAGGAAGGTTAAGTGAGGTTGCCTGGAGGTAGTGAGTAAAATCCTGATTCCACTGAATTTCATGGGAATTCTGCCTTTGACTAAAACAGAGCCATAATTTTGCTTTTGGTGCAAGGTCAGGAGGATGAAAGAACATTTCAGCATCATTTAAAAATTCAGTATATTCTTATTGTCTAGGGAAGCCATGGAGAGAGTAATCATAGAATCGTATCATAGAAGTAGGGTCGGAAGGGACCTTGTAGATCTTCAAGTCCGACCCCCAGACTTCAAGTTTCTCCTTGAAAGAAACAAGGAGACCTGTTTCTTTTACATGCAGTTGGCCTAGATCAAAGGCTATGTAGCCTGCTGGCAGCCTTTGGCACAGTGCAAAAGTGTTCTCACATCTTGCAAAGTGAAAGCTGTAGAGCTGATTTGAAATCTTTTAATGCATTTAGCTTAAAAAGTATCTAGATAACATGGTAAAATTGTTGTAAGCTCCAGTAATGAAGTAATAAATTCACCTGTGTAATTGATGACAGATTTCACTTTTTTGCTGCTCCCTTGATTCAAGAATTAAATCAGTTTTATGGCATATTAAGAGATTCATAAAAATTGTAATTGGACCATAAACTGAAGATAATGTAGTTTGCTTGCATTCACATTATCAGTTGGATGACCAGCTTCTTGAGAGAGAAAATGGGAGTAAGTGTTTTTAATAGTATGACAAGTGAAATTTAGGAAGGCTTATGATGAATACGCGTGGTTGCATGATGAGTGTCTGGCACTCATTGAGGATGATGGAAAGAACAACAAAAACAGTCATTCTAAAGTGGGCAAGAGAAATAGTCCTAAGGGCTCAAAAGTTGCCAGTCAAAACCAAAACTCATGAAATGGTTTTTTAAAATAATTTTTAAAAATGTTGGGGCTCTTGGAATGTTCCCAGCTTCAAGCCTGAGTTCTTACCTGAGGGGTGGCTACCAATTTTTTTTCTTTTTTTTTCTTTTTTTAAGACATGACTCCAAACTGTGATTCTTTAAGAAGAAACACCAAATATTGGAAGTCTTGCAACAAATTCTTGAGAGTTAGCAAGAGTGGATAGAAGTGGAAGTTTTTGTTACTTGGTTGCAGAGCAGGGAACCTGCCTGTCTTGAAACCTTTCATCACTGCAGTTTTGCCATTTCTTTTCAGTAACTCCAGCAATCCCTTCTTAAATTTGAACCTATGCTTTGGGCCTGATTTGACTCTGCAGTTCTACTCTGAATTGCTGAAAAATAGGTATAGAAGGGGCCTCAAAGTCCAACTAACCCTTGCTCAAGGCAGGGCCATCCCAGGCTAGGATTTGTCTCATCTTTTCTTAAATGAGGATGGAGATTCCACAGCCTCTCCAGGACAGTAATCTGTTCCAATGCTTAACCACCATCATAGTTAGGAAGTTCTTCCTAGTTTCCAAACTAAATTTCCCTTGTAAGTAGCAGCATACCTATGTGCACATATTTGGAGGCAGAAACCCATTTTTATACATGCGAGTACACAAATAAACACAAATGTGAGCAAATTGGGTTTGCTATAAACATATGGACACTCCATTTAAAAAAAAAAAGCCCTAAAAATGCCTGTCATTAAAAACAGTTTGCCTTTCTTAGAAAGATGAAGCCACTGAAGCTTTAGCTTAGTTTCAGGGAAAAGAAAGCTGGAGGCAAGCTGAAAGACAACAAAGCCACCTCCTGTCTGAGCAGGAGTGCTGCACCCTGCATAGATCTGTCAGGGCTTTGTGGCTTATTAGAGCCTGCTTCAACCTCTCCCCCCCTCCAATCACTGGGTCCCTTTGATCATCCCTTGGCTCTTACACTTGCTTGCTTTAAGGGACAGGGAGGGAGATAGTGTGGCCCAGATGGAACTGTGGGTCCGCAGGAGGAGAGGCAGTGGATGGGGGGTTTGTCCTGGGATGGGGGAGTGGGCCAGTGAAAGTAAAGCTTACAGGGCATCATGGTGTGGGGTGCAGTTTGGGGTGTCAGGGTGTGGGGGAGTAGGGGACCCTTGTGGTGGGGGCAGCAAAGTATAAAACCACAGGGGTGCCAACCCAAGATTTTTTTTACCAATAGGAAAAACATGTCTCGGTTAAAAAAAAAAAAAAAAAAATCAATTAAAGGTTTACAGATGGCCAGAAAAGGAAATATTGGAGCAAATACACGTGCTGTTTTTTGGCACTGGGAAAATAACACTGGTGGCAAAGTTCTTATTTGCATACTGTAGCAGTTTTACAGTTTCCTGCCTGCAGGAAATGAGGAAGATTAGAGATGCCTTATCTTAAAGACATGGATCTTATCAGGGTCTGTGGAGCTGAATGGTTATAAAAGCTGGTAGATATATGTTTGAAAGGCTCATGCCAACTGCTTTTGTGATTTCTAGGTAATAAGGGAGTAGTGCATCCCAGAAGCAACAGGTTGCAAAATCTACTCTGTGACCTGTGGACCCATGTACTTTCTTTCAAACTCATTCCCGTGCCTCCCCCCTCCCCTTTTGCTCTTGTGAGCAAAAGATAAAGTATAGCAAAAGTGTTTGCTAACAGGTCTGCTGCTGTAGTGGAATCATTACCAGTTTTTCTTCTCTACATTAATCGAGAGAAAATCCAGTTGTGTCGCAATCTACCTCTACTGACAGCTGCTCAGAAAAGTCAGCTTTCTTCAGTCTTTAGTAATCTTGAAATACAGGCAGCACTTTAAATCACAACCCCCTGGAGCACATTTTGTCATGTTGCCTGGTGAGGAGAATTTACTGTATGATTAGAGTGACTCACCTCCCAACAACATCATGCTTCACGCAGAAATAAAAGAAGCCATCACAGCCTACAGAGATGCTTTTTTTTTTTTTTTTTTTAAAGAAAAAGGGGGGGGGGGTAGGGAAGGGACAAGCCAGTATTTGGAAGATCATCATGCTGTCTTTAATGTGTAAGAATGCAAATCTAGTTTGGTGCAGGGTTTTTTGGGAGGGGGTTGTTGCCTTTTTATGAAAGCAATCATTTGTATGCTGCTTTCCTTTCTTGAAGAGATTGGCAGATTAGTTAGTAGAATATATATCATATGCTTCCTTTATTGTTCCAAATCGCATGCTTGAAATGGTTCCAGAATAAATAATTTGCATATTTAAAAGCAAGGAACTTTTTGCTTCCTTGTTCAAGGAGCTGGATACAGTACGGTAGCTTTGTTAGCCCTGATATGCAAGAGGTTATAACAAAGCCACACTGATTTGATGCTCAACTGCCTGCTTACCCCTTATATAGACATTCATATCTGTTCAGAGTGAGTGGAAAGTAGAAATTTCTTCATTCATGCCTACCAGTAATAACATTTTATTCCCACATTTCACAAATGAAATTTGACTCACTCTAGGATTTTAGGGAATGGGAAATTGGGTCCTGCACATCTAAGTTTGTCTTCAGCATCATCCTCCCTAGAAGAAAGCTACAGATAGAGAAACTTTGGCACAGGTGGAGAAGGAATTCTGAGGCAGATTTGGGAATACAGCCTGTATCATCTCTTCCTGTCACGTGTTTTAAACGTAAGATCACCTTTTCTCCTTCAAGGCTTTTTAAGTCTGGCTTTTGTTTGAGCAGCTCCGTATAATTTTGGAGTGAGAAAGAGAAGAGAATTCAGACTTCAGGATAGAGTGGGTGGCATGGTAGAAATAGTGGGATGTTATAAACCCCTCTGTAGGAATTAGGCAGACAAGATTCGCATGGCCTCTGATCCTCACTGCCACACATTTGCATTTTCACAGACCTGGATTTTGCATGTTGACTTCTATTCCATTTAGAAGAACACTTCAACAACAGACTGTCCCTATGCCTGAAGAAGGGTGTTTGTGCTCAAAAGCTTGCAAAGAGCAATTTTTCCAACTATTTAGTTGGTCTAGTTTTATAGTAGGTAGGG